CTGTGTGTGCTGTCATCGGTCTCGACATCTACTGTGGTCTGAATGTGTGTGTCCTCCAAAATTCCTATGTTGAAATCCAAACCCCCACGGGGATGGTGTCAGGAGGTGATCAGGTCATGAAGGTGGAGCCCTCATCAATGGGATTGGTGTCCTTATAAAGGAGACCCCGAGAATTCCCTCGTCCCTGCCATCATGTGAGGACACGGCAAGAAGATGGCCAGAAGTGGGCCCTCACCAGACACTCAATATGCGGGCGCCTAGATCTTGGACTTTCAGCCTCGAGAACTGCGAGAAATGCATGTCTGTTGTTAATCAGCTGCCAGTCTGTGGTATTCAGTTTTAGCAACCCCAAATGGACCAAGAAACCCTCTGAACCAAGTGCCTTTGCAGGGGGCCAGCACACTCTGAGATCTTTCTGAACTGAACATGTATTTCAGAAAACAAGGGCAGCAGCCAAAGCCCAACCCTGACAAGGCCTCAAAGGAGGAGAGAACTCCTCTGCTTGCTTTGCTCCTGGTTATGTGTGATGCTGGCACAAGACACCAGAGCAAAGCGTGATTAATGGGCTGGAACAACTCCCAAGGCTCACAGGAGGGAGGGGCGGCCAACAGGCTGCTGTGGCCATGTCCCTGGGCCATCCACCTCCTCTTGGGCCTACCCAGATGCCCTTCACCCAGGGAGGCTGCAGTGAGATCCATCTGAGAGGGAGTTGTTGGTGGGAGCCATGGGCCAGTTCCAAGAGAGCCTGGCAGGAGCCAGAACAGGCCCCTATCCTCTGCTCCTTCTCCTTTCTGTCTGGGAGGTGGTATGGTGAGGGAGGGGAGCAGAAAGACGGGTGGGGGTGGGGCTCCTGCCAATGCTGTGGAGACCACCTGCTGGTCGCGCACTGTTGACCTCCAGTCTGCTTTAGTGTGAAAGAAAAAGAGATTCCCAGCGAGTCTGAGGCATGGTTCCTGGTCTTTTCATCCAGTAGGAAGCATGATCTAATCGGAGTTGAAGGGGTGACCAGGCAGTCAGCCACCACAGGTACAGAAGAGAAACACTTCTCAGGAGCTGCCCAGGGAAGCCAGAGGGATCGTAGCACCAAAGATTTTGGCGTAACTAAGGGGGGAGTCAGTGGAGCCAAGGAAAACCTCTCCAAAACAGGGGAAATGGAGAAATTACACCTTGGGCTATTCAGCTGGGATGCACTGCACCCACAGAAAGCCCAGGGAGAGAAGAGTCTGGGCCCCTCCCTTGCACAAAGAGCACTGAGGACCTGCTCTGTGGAGGTAAAATCACAGGAGATGTTGTTTGATGTGGAGATAACTTGCACCAGTGCTGTTTTACATAGAAGAAAATCCACCAAACAATCAGCACATAGCCCTAACCTCACCCCAGGAACCAATGATGGAATTGTCAAAGCTGTGCCACAGACTCTTACCTATCCCACTTCACTGAACATCAGCTTAGACCCACTCCCTTCTCTCTTTGAAGATCGTAGACCACAGACCCAATCTACCTACCCCCACAAAGAACATGGACCACAGACCCTACCTACATACCTCCATGAAGAACATGGACCACAGACCCTACCTACATACCTCCATGAAGAACACAGACCATAGACCCAATCTACCTACCTCCATGAAGAACATGGATCATAGACCCAATCTACATATCTCCAGGAAGAACACAGACCACAGACCAATCTACATACCTCCAAGAAGAACACAGACCACAGACCAATCTACATACCTCCACAAAGAATGTGGACCACAGATTCAATCTACATTCCTCCATGAAGAACATTAGCCACAGACTCAATCTACATACCTCCATGAGGAACACAGATCACAGACCAATCTACATACCTCTGTGAAGAACATGGACCACAGACTCAATCTACATTCCTCCATGAAGAACATGGACCACAGACTCAATCTACATTCCTCCAAGCAGAACATGGGCCACAGACTCAATCTACATTCTTCCATGAAGAATATGGACCACAGACCAATTTACATACCTCTACAAAGAACATAGACCACAGACCCATTCCTCATACCACCTACCCTGATGTACTTCCCACCTAATCAGAATGACCATTGGACCAAATGCCACAGCCCATGCACAGAATTGCCACCTACATGAAATGTATATTAGTTTCCCAGGCTTCTGCAATAAAGTACCACACACTGGGTGGCTTAAAACAACAGAATTTTATTATGATACACTTGCAGAGGTTCCTTACCAAAATCCACGTGTTGGTCAGCCATCTCTGACTGAAGCCTGTGGGGAGAATCCTTGGTTGCCTCTTCCAGCTTTTGGTGTTGCTGGAAATCCTGGCCTTCCTTGGCTTGTAAACACAGTGTTCCAACCTCTGTCTCCATCCTCACATGGCCTTTCCCTCTGTGTCACGGTGTCTCTCAGAAAGGACCCCAGTCGTGGATTAGGGCTCACTCTACTCCAGCAGGACCTCGCCTTAGCTGACCACAACTGCAACGACACTATCTCTAGAGAAGGCCACATCCAAAAACTCCTGGGGTAAAACTTCAACATATCTTTTTGTGGACACAATTCAACCCACAACTATGGGTAAAGAGCATTTTAAATGGTTCATGAAGAAACAGGTGCATCTGAAACCAAGGGTTGTGTTGGTGACTAATGGAAGGCAAATTCAAACGTGGGCATTGGGGCATTTCTGTGGAGCCTGGAGGAAAGGCTGAGCATTTGGACCATGAGGGGTCATTGGGCGTGCTCCCAGATGAGTAAGTAGGTGAGGTGCCATTTTAGGACAAGGAGCCATGCATGGAACAGGGCAGATACATCCCACATGAAGGGTCCCCCAACTCATGTCGAGTGAGGGTGCTGAGACATGGAGTTTCATGCTGACGGTGAGAATGGACTGTGAGTCACCCTTGACATATGAATCGGTGACAAGGAACTCATGAAGGGAGAAGCCACACTGAGCGTGAAAGTGCAGGGCAGCTTTATGATTGTGGGACCTGAAACGGTCCTGACTCTGGTCTCACTCAGGCACTTAGAAGTGAGACCCCAAGACACTGCCTCCACCCCGAGGACCAGAGTCTTTGAGGGCTCAGCAGATGAGGCCTGTGAGAGATTCAGTGGGATAGAACCACTGAAACAACAATAATGGCACCACACGCTCCCCAACACACTCGTGAGGGGCAAGAGGCACTAACTGGGACTCATTATTCATCGTGAAACTCCAACATAGGAGGGGACGGCAAGATTGGGAATTAAAGTGTGGTCAAAGAGACAAGTTGTTATGTGGATTTACTGTTCAAAGTAGGATGGGGGACAGGTAGTGTGAGGTCCAGGTAGAATGGGTGACAGGCCGTGTGAAGTCCAGGTAGGACAGGGGACAGGCCATGTGAGGTCCAGGTAGGACAGAGGACAGGCCATGTGAGGTCCAGGTAGGACAGGGGACAGGCCATGTGAGGTCCAGGTAGGACA